TAGGATTGGGTTTCGATTTCTTCTAAAGTCTGCTTCAACTCTATAATTCTAACGTCTCCTCCCCTGTCTTTTAAACAAGAATAGAGGTTTATCCCTTGTTTCCTGTTTAGGATTGGGTTTACGGTTTCTTCTAAAGTCTAATACAACTCTATAATTCTAACGTCTCCTCCCCTGTCTTTTAAACAGGAATAGAGGTTTATCCCTTGTTTCCTGTTTGGATTGGGTTTCCGGTTTCTTCTAAAGTATACTTCAACTCTATAATTCTAACGTCTCCTCCCCTGTCTTTTAAACAGCAATAGAGGTTTATCCCTTGTTTCCTTTTTTAATTGGGTTTCAGTTTCTTCTAAAGTATACTTCAACTCTATAATTCTAACGTCTCCTCCCCTGTCTTTTAAACAGCAATAGAGGTTTATCCCTTGTTTCCTCTTTAGGATTGGGTTTCCGATTTCTTCTAAAGTCTGCTTCAACTCTATACTTCCAACGTCTCCTCCCCTGTCTTTTAAACATGAATGTATGTTTATCCCTTGTTTCCTGTTTTGGATTGGGTTTCCGATTTCTTCTAAAGTCTGCTTCAACTCTATACTTCCAACGTCTCCTCCCCTGTCTTTTAAATAGGAATAGAGGTTTTTTTCTATCCCTTGTTTCCTGTTTAGGATTGGGTTTCCGATTTCTTCTAAAGTCTACTTCAACACTATAATTCCAACGTCTCCTCTTCCCTGTCTTTTTAAACAGGAATAGAGGTTTATCCCTTGTTTCCTGTTTAGGATTTGGTTTCCGTCTGCTTCAACTTTCTTCTAAAGTATACTTCAACTCTATAACTCTATACTAACGTCTCCTCCCTGTCTTTTAAACAGGAATAGAGGTTTATCCCTTGTTTCCTGTTTAGGATTGGGTTTCTGGTTTCTTCTAAAGTCTACTTCAACTCTATAATTCTAACGTCTCCTCCCCTGTCTTTTTAAACAGCAATAGACGTTTATCCCTTGTTTCCTGTTTAGGATTGATTGGGTTTCCGGTTTCATCTAAAGTATGCTTCAACTCTATAATTCAACTAACGTCTCCTCCCCTGTCTTTTAAAAAAGTAAAAGAGGTTTATCCCTTTGTTTCCTGTTTAGGATTGGGTTTCCCTGGTTTCTTCTAAAGTATACTTCAACTCTATAATTCTAACGTCACCTCCCCTGTCTTTTAAACAAATACCAATAGAGTTTTATCCCTTGTTTCCTGTTTTTGATTGGGTTCCGGTTTAATCTAAAGTATACCTCAACTCTATAATTCTAACGTCGCCTCCCCTGTCTTTTAAATATCAATAGAGGTTTATACCTTGTTTCCTGTTTAGGATTGGGTTTCCGGTTTCTTCTAAAGTCTACTCCAACTCTATCATTTTACCTCTCCTCCTCTGTCTTTTAAATAGCAATAGAGGTTTATCCCTTGGTTCCTGCTTAGGATTGGGTTTCCGTTTTCTACTAAAGACTTCTCCAACAATATAATTATAACGTCTCCTCCCCTGTCTTTTCAATAGCAATATAGGTTTATCCATTGTTTCCTGTTTAGGATTGGATTTCCGGTTTCTTCTAAAGTCTACACCAACTCTTTACTTCTAACGTCTCTTCCCCTGTCTTTTAAATAGCAATAGAAGTTTATCCCTTGTTTCCTGTTTAGGATTGGGTTTCCGGTTTCTTCTAAAGTCTACTTCAACTCTATACTTATGGCTTCTCTACCTAATCTTTGAAATTTCATTCACTATTTTTATTTCTCTGTCATGAGCGTAGATATGTTTTCCTATTGTCCGGTTCACCCTCTTTCCTGGTCTTTTGAACAGGAGTAGAGGTTTATTCTTTGTCTAGGATTGGTTTTCCAGTTCCATGAACTGTCTCCTTCAACTCTATACTTCTAATATGAAATTTTATTTACTATCTTTTTTCTTCTGTGGTTCGCAAATAATCCGGTTCACATACTTCACCGGTCTTTTGAACAGGTTTATCCCTTTTTTTTTTTTTAGGATTGAGTTATTGTCGACTTCTAATGTTTTTTCGCTCCCAGTAGTACTTTGCGTGTTAGTAGCATTATCGTCTTGGCTAAGAAGGCTTGATAAAATAAAAAAAACAAACAGAAATTCAAACTAAAATTATAACGACTTGTTTGCTTATTATTGCTTTTCATCTTTACGTATCGACTTACTTTTTCGCATTTACAATTTATTTGCAGAGTTTCACTCTGATATGCAAATTAAGGACGGGTGGATGTTTATTCCCAAGCTGTTACACTCGTCCAACCTTTATACTTTTTTATGTCCCGATAAATGCGTGTCTATTATGGTCCCCACACCAAGTACAAATAAATTAAAAGCGGCAAATATTTAGAGTAAGACATCAAACCATACTCAAGGAAAAAGGGTTAAAGTTAGAAACGTTAGATTACCTCCTCGTTTATCCATTTAAACTGCTACCCACCGAAAAAGAAAGAAAAATAGCCAGTCCCCACCGTGGACCATTTAAATGATAGTCCGAACAGCGTATTGGTTGTTACAAACACCCAATCGGGTGAACGGAAAACGTCTTTTCTCGTCTAATTCATTAAAATGGCCAGAGTAGCTGTTAGCGTTTGATTGAGAGGATAATCAGGGAATGAACTCCCCTGATTGGCTTGACTTGGTCCTCTGGTGTCTTATCAAGTGAATATAGATTCTATATTCAACATCATCACTTGATAAGACACCAGAGGTGTTGAAACAAAATGGCTATTTTTGTAGTGATTTTATAACATATTTAGGTTATAATTTTCGAATAAATAATTATACTCACGCTACTCTGAATTGAGCACACTTTTAAGAATAGTAATTGTTGGTTATTGGAATTTATTCCGTATACACCAATCCTATATTTGTATATATATATATATATATATATATATATATATATATATATATATATATATATATATATTGAAATATACATGATGTTTTGCAGCCTATAAGTTACATTTTTTAGTAATGACATTAGCTCAATGTAACTATTTGTTGAACTATACTGCTTGAAACTGCCACGATCAAGCCACATCCATCAGATCAAACCGTGGATACAGCCATAAGTTAGAAAGTGCGAAAAGCCTGATTTTAGAAAATCAATATTTGATTAAGAAACGAGAGAATCTGCTGTGAATTAAGTGAGGATCAATTTTGTGTCATCAACAATTTGTAAATTTATCCGCCATTTGCAAAATATAGTCAATTTTATACGTTTCGCTCGTCAAGAAAGAATGAAAGTTTTGACTCGTTTCTCCGATGTGTGTTTCAATGAAAGCATCATTGACAATATGTCAATGTGAACTCAAATATGGATTGATTGAGAGTGTGATTTACACCCACACCCCTCAAGGGATAACAGCCGATTGTTGCAGTCGTTGTAATAGTTTCATTTATGTCTTATGTTTTTAGAGTGTAATACGGACTTATTCTTATTATATCGTTCATTTTTCTTTCTTTTTCTTTTTCTTTTCTTTTTCTTTCTTTTTCTTTCTTTTCTTTTTCTTTCTTTTCTTTTTCTTTCTTTTTCTTTCTTTTCGTTCTTCTTTCTTTTCTTTTCTTTTCTTTCTTTTCTTTTTTTTTTTTGCTTTTTCTTTCTTTTCGTTATTTATTTTCAGTTCTTTCTTTTTTTTTTTTTTTTCCTTTCTTTCTTTTTTTTTTCTTTTCTTTTTTTTTCTTTCTTTCTTTCCTTTCTTTCTATCTATTTTCTCTTTTTCTTTTTTTTCAGTTTTTTCCTTTTTTGTTTCAGTCTTTTTATATTTATTTTTTCTTTCTTTTTTTTTTCTTTTCTTTCTTTCTTTTTTTCATTTCTTTTTTTCTTTCTTTCTTTCCTTCTTTCTTTCTTTCTTTTTCTTTCTTTCACTCTTTTCTTTCTTTCTTCTTTTTTTTTTTTTTTTCTTTTTTTTTTCTTTCTTTTTTTTTTTCTTTCTTTCCTTTTTTCTTTTTCATTTTCCTTCTTCCTTTTTTTTGTAAGTTTTCCTCTTTCTTCTTTTTTTTTCATTTTTTTCTGTCTATTTTTTTTCTTTTTCCTTTTTTTTCTTTGTCATTTAATTTTCTTTTTTTACGTTTTTATCAGTTTATTTTGTTTTTTTCTATCATTTTAGTTTTCCTTTTCTTTCTTTTAATTATTTTTCCTTTCCACTTTTCACTTTTGTTCTTTATTTTCTTTCTTTCATTTTCCTTTTCCTTTCTTTCGTTCTTTTATTTCTTTTCCTTCCTTCCTTTCTTTCTTTCTTTCTTTCTTTCTTTCTTTTCTTTCTTTCTCAATCTGTTACTACTGTCTTTCTTTCTTTCGTTATTATTTCTGTTTCTCTCTTTCCTTCTTTTATTTCTCGCTATTTTTATTTCGTTTTTCACTTTTCTTTCCTTTTCTTCTTTTTTTTTTGCCCGCTTTTGTTATTTTTTCTTTATTTTCATTTCTTTCTTTTTTCCTTATTATTTCTTACTTCTTTTCTATTTTTCTTGCTTTCTTTCTCTATTTGTTTCTTTCTTTCTTTCTTTCCTTCTTTCTTCTTCCCTTTTTATCTTTTTTCTTTTCTTTCCCTCCCCGTAAAACCTGAGGCTCTGAAATTCAGAGTGTATGTTAAAGAGAAAGAAATGATCAAGAAAGAAGGAAAAGAAATTTTTTAAAAAGACACAAAAGAAAAAAGCGAAGAAAGAATTAGAAAAAAAAATACAGAGAAATAAATTAATTGATAAATATAGAATGAAAGAAAGAAAAGTGAAAAATAAAGAACAAAAGTGAAAAGTGAAAAGGAAAAATAATTAAAAGAAAGAAAATGAAAAATAAAATGATAGAAAATAACAAAATAAACTGATAAAAACGTGAAAAAACACAAAAGAATGAGATATGACAAAGAAAAAAGGGACAAGGGGAAAAATAAAGAGAAAAAGAAATTAATAAAGAAAGAAGATAGAAAAGGAAAGACTTACAGAAAGAAAGGAAGAAGGAAATTATGCGTGTCTGGAAAAGGAAAAATAATCATAAAAAAGAAAGAAAGAAAAATAAAGAGAGAGAGAAAGAAAGAGAAAAAAGAAAGAGACAGAGAAAGAAAGAAAGAAAGTAAAAAGAAAAAGAGAAAGAGAGAAAGAGTAAAAGAAAGAGTGAAAGAACGAGAGAGAGAGAGAGAGAGAAAGAAACATATAAAGAAAGCAAGAAAGAAAGCGTGAAAGAAAGAGAGATAGAAAAAAGATAAAAGAGTGCAAGAAATAAAAAGAGAGTAAGAAATATAGACAGAGAAAAATATAAAGAAAGAAAGTAAGAAAGAAAAGTGAGAGAGAGAAAAAGAGAGAAAGAGAGCTAGAAAGAAAGCGAGAAAGAGAGCGTAAAATAAATAGAGAAAGAAATAGAAAGAAAGATATAATGAAACAAAAAGAAAGAAAGTAAGAACGATATATATATATATATATATATATATATATATATATATATATATATATATATAGAGAGAGAGAGAGAGAGAGAGAGAGAAAGAAAGAAAGCCAGAAAGACGTGCCTGATGATGTTCGATAAAAGCAACCAATCGGAACGAATCGGCGTCTATCGATATCGGTCTCTTCCTGAATGATACGAAACACGAAAACAGGTGAGGTGGCAGCAGGTGTGTTATTAACTCAGTGAGCAACACGACAGTCAAGCCGCCTAAATGAACAGGAGACCCTTGTTCGACGACCCTCCTCTCCAATTCCACTGCAAAGACAATGAGCTCAAGGACGATCTGGAAAACATTGTTTTGATCCAAGCCTATTGTCTACAATCTAGGCCATCATTTTATACGCACACAAATATATATATATATATATATATATATATATATATATATATATATATATATATATATATATATATATATATGTGTGTGTGTGTGTGTGTGTGTGTGTGTGCGCGCACGCGCGCGTGTGTGTGTGTGTATGTGCATAGATTCCTTTGGTATATTACTTCCGTATTACCCAGTGAAGTAATAAATGGATGAATATATATATATATATATATATATATATATATATATATATATATATATATATATATATATTCTGATGAGGTAAATTTGGATTTCTATTTCATGTTTATATATATATATATATATATATATATATATATATAGAGAGAGAGAGAGGGTATTCTGATAGAAAAAAAGACATTTAAGGCAAGCAGCCTTTGCAATAAATTGCACAATATCAGAGATAGAGCATTAATAGGATTAATACAAGTAAAATGTCTGTTATTTAGTTGTTTGATATTCACTTCAGCATCCTGGTCCAGCGCAACTGCAGATACCCACTGACGAGTGGACGGAGTGATTCACAGAGAGTTCGTCTACTCGTATTAACTATATATATATATATATATATATATATATATACATATATATATATATATATATATATATATATATATATATATATATATATATATATATATATATATATATACCCAAGTTTAGGATTGCGTATACGGAATAAATTCCAATAACCAACAAATACTATTCTTAAAAAGAGTGCTCAATACAGAGTGAACAAAAATTATTTATTTGAAATTATAACATAAATATGTTAATCAAACAAAATGGTCATTTTTGTTTCGACATGGTTTTTATAACATATTTAATGTTAATAATTTATTCAAATAAAACATTATCATTTGTTCTACACTGTATTGAAACAAAGTGGCTATTTTTAAGAATAGTATTTATGTTGGTTTTGGAAATTTATTCCGTATATATATAATCCTAAACTATATATATATATATATATATATATATATATATATATATATATATATATATAATACGTATAGTACTGTCATTGATAAAACAAATATTCAAACGGTCAGTCTATACTCAGCAGCTGAAACTCCGAGTCGTGCTGCTTGTGAAGGATAGTATATATATATATATATATATATATATATATATATATATATATATATATATATATATATATATATATATGTATGTGTGTGTATAAATGTGACACTGAGGTCAACAACCAAAGACGACAGTCTTACACACACACACACACACATATATATATATATATATATATATATATATATATATATATATATATAAATCCGTGGGTAAATAATCAAAGTAAATCCTAATAATATAAATATTAAAACTGTTCCACAAAAGAAAGCTCTATGTATTTGTTATTGAGCATATATAAATAAATTACATATAAATGAAATTAAATGCCACATATGGATGGGCATTCTTCACCCCCGTAAGAAAAAATTTCTACCGGTGTTTATCAACACCAAATGCTTTGAAGATGAATATAATATATAAATATAAATATATATATATATATATATATATATATATATATATATATATATATATATATATCAGTAGGCGCGGACGACGGCAGAAGCTTCAATAAAAGTCAGCTTGACACTAGCGCGCTGGTGTCAGCTGTTAGTTCTCATCATGACTGACATTTCGATTGTAAGAAAAAACGAGGCAGGTGAGTGGATGAAAGCGAAGAGACCAAATAAGTGCGAGGCTTGAACAGAAAGATAAAAGAATATAGCCATGCAAAATATGGGAAGACGAGGAGAATCGGTAGAGGTTGACATGGATAGACAATGAAAACGTCTGAAAAGACAGGAAGTGGGGGCGGCGAAGGGAAGACATTGTTATGAAGCAATTAAAAATCACACTGATCATTCACACTAAATTGAGCTTCTAGTTCACACGGTTTGTGGCCAGACCCTAACAATGGTTGTTCTACCCCCGTCTGATCCTATCTACATAAAAATTTTTATTCATTCATCAATCTTTATAAATACCTGTTTTAAGCCAGGCATCCATACTGTTTCGATTTTAATGAATTATAGGAAAGAACCTATAATTAATTCCGTTTATGTAGAAGCTTAGAAGTTAATACCAAACTATAATTAATTTTTCAGGAACCTATGATTAATTCCACATTTTTAAGAAGACTATTATAAATAGCGATTTTTTTCGAGAAACCTATAATTAATAACGGATTTCTAAAGATCCCTAAAAATCTATAGTTAATACAGGACTTTTAGACCACCTATAATTAATACAGAATGTTTAGAAATTCATAATTAATACAGGACATTTATAAACCTATAATTAATAATGGACTTTTTAGAAACATATAAGCGAAACCGGATGTTTTTAGAAACCTATAATTAATACAGGACTTTTAAAAACCTATAATTAATACAGGATTTTTAGAAACCTATAATACCGGATATTTAGAAACCTATAATTAATACAGAACTTTTAGAAACCTATAATTAATACAGGACCTTTAGAAAGCTATAATTAATGCAAGACTTTTATAAAATAATAATTAATGTAGGGATTTAGAAAGCTATAATTAATACAGGGTTTTTAAAACCCTATAATTAATGCAGGACTTTTAGAAACCCATGATTCATGTAGGACATTTAGAAACCTATAATTAATGCAAGGCTTTTAGAAAGCTACAATTAATACAGGACTTTTAGAAACCTATAATTAAACCATGAAATCAATAATATCGAATTTGTTTGTAAAACAATAACTGAAGACTGACATTTCAGTATGTATAATTAAAGAGACTTAAAATCATAAAAAAACCCAAATATTTTTAGAAAGTTATAATTAAAGTTAGATTTATTTCAACACCACATTTTAGACACCTATGATTTATAGCAGATTCTTTAGAAAGCTAGGAGTAATGTTGGATTCTTTAGAAATCCAGAATTAATACTGGATTACTTAGAAAGCCAGAATTAATGTAAGAATCCTTGGAAACCAAGAATTGATGTTGGATTCTTTAGAAAGCCAAGAATTAACGTTTGATTTTTTAGAAAAACAGAATTAATTTTAGATTCTTTAAGAGCGAGAATTAATACTGAATTCTTTAGAAACCAAGAATTAATGTTGGATTGCTTAGAAAGCGAGAATTAATATTTTAATACTTGGAAACCCCCAAATAATATTAAATTCTTTAGAAACCCAAAATTAATGTTGGATTCTTTAGAAAACCAAAATTAATGTTGGATTCTTCAGAATAACAGAATTAATGTTAGATTGTTTAGAAATCCATAAATAATGTTGGATTCTTTAGAAATCCAGAATTTATGTTGGATTTTAGAGAAATCAAGAGTTAAACAGAATTCATTTTGAATTCTTTAGAGAGCGAGAATTAATGATGAGTTCTTTAGAATGCACGATGTAATGTTAAATTCTTTAGAAATATATATGTCAGATGGATCTGGTGCATTTTTAAGAGCAGCAAGTACTTTCGAAAACATCATATTTTCATCATCAGGCTGTAATTTTTACCTTTTATAAATAAAACCCCAAGACGAAATGTACTGTAGACCGAAAGATGTTTTTAAGAATGGTTTATTTATTTACGGTTATATATTTTTTGCTAGCGAAGAGAATTTGCCATTAATTACATGAATATTATTAATTGATTCTTTGTATGATTACCTCTTTATAATATAAAATATACGCTGCCCAATATAATATACTAGCAGTAGAGCCCGGCGTCAGCCGGGGATGTAACAGTAAGAGATAGATCAAGTATCGACCATCATAAAGACTGAAAAATAAAATTGACAAAGATTATTGTTTAAGGTTGACGGACACGCATGTCTTAATTAGTTTTTTTTTTTTTTACAAATTGGTGAAAACCAAACTCAAACAATCAATCGTTATGAGTCTACCGATTGAATAGAACTTTATTATAAACAATTGTCTTGTAAATGGAATTTTTAAAGGATTCTGAATGTAAAAATAAAGAAAAAAGTGTGCAAGACAATAAGAAACACTACCTGCCAAAAAAAGTGAAGTTTTGTTGAAATCGGTTGAAAAATGTAGGAAATCCGATTCCATATATAAATGAACACACACACACACACACACACACACACACACACACACACACACACACACACACACACACACAACCTGGGTTTTATAATAAGTAAAACTCAATATGAGTTGTTCCACCTTTCATTCTGGCGACAGAATTGTGTTTTATCGTGTTTTCAAATTGATTTCATGCAAAAAAAGAAGAAGTGTTTTTCCTATTTTTGGTGCTGTCAGAACCACCACAAGGTAATTTTACGTAGTCCTGTGAAGTTTTGTTGAAATCGGTTGAAAAATGTAGGAAATCCGATCCAATATATAAACGTACAGACACACACACACAACCTGAGTTTTATAATAAGATTTATGAAAATTGATCCGCAGCATGGAATTCTGGAAAAAACTAAAACATATCACTCTATTAATTGAACTTTGTACTTAGTTTATGTCACATTAACAGGAAAACACTTACAACAAAAGAACTTGTGGATTTACTACATTACTAAATTCATACAGAAAATAAATTCTCACTTTGAATATTTGAACTATATACGTTGCCACCTGCACTTTCCAAAAATAATATGACTGTTAATAAATAACACATTGTTAAAAAACATCTTTCGGTCTACGATTTATTTTGTCTTGGTGTTTTATTTATAAAAGATAAAAATTACAGCCTGATGATATATATATAATGTTTTCGAAAGTACTTGCTGCTCTAAAAAATACACTAGATTCATCTGACAACAATTTTGTACATAAGAAACGCGTCATTCAATGGATTGTTAGTAAGTTAATGCTTTATTAAGTTTGTTATTCATATTTGATGCTATTCCTCTCTGTGTTTCAAATTTAATAATGGCGGCTGATTCAAGTAATGTGATTTTGAAACCTCTTTCATTATTTCCTGCGCAAACAGCCGAGCAAGAACAATTCCAAAATGACAAAGATAAATGAAGATGTTTGGCTAATTGTCTTATAGTCAGATTCCCTACCCATTTGGTTAGTGCCTGAAACATTTATGTATGTTAGTTATCTTCGGTTGGCTAATTCAATAAACCTTGTTGGGGTATTTAATGCTGAATATATGCCTGCATCTATATTCAAACGCTGGGCGTGCTTGAATCTGTAAGCATCCACGAGCAATTTGGCTTGTTTTGTGGGTGAAGTCTTACCCCTCTAAAGTAAATCCCCGTATTACGAAAATCCCGACCTGCGACGGCTAGGAGTTACTACGTAATCTCCATTAATCTTGTTTCACTTTATGCCGTTTAGCGTGGGTTAGTTCCTGGTTGTACGCTATATTGGATTGTTGTGCATTCGCTCTCTTTTGCTTGCGTTGTGTTTGTGGAAACTTATTGCTCGTCACTATTGCTTCCAAACGCGCCTCTTGTGATGGCGATGCTTCGAAGAAAAGGAAAGCAATCGCCATGGATTTGAAATTTATTAAACCCTCTGAAAAGGGAAAAAGAGCGACGAACATTAGCTGGCTTAAGTTGTTCTATTGCTGCCTAAAATATGGGCACACAAGTATAGAGCTTGAGTCTCCCTGCAAGAGATAAGGACATTTTCTTGTTAAACTATATGATGATTTGGTTTGTTTTACGGCATATCAACCTCAATGGGTTATTTAATGCCGACAAAATTTTTATTGCTGGTAATATGTTTTTCTTCAAAAATCTAATCTGGAAATATTTTTCTTTGAAGAAATCTATAGCTGATCATATTTTTTCCAAAGAATATATAGCTGTTTGTATTGCCGGTACTTTTTTAAAAGTATTGCTGATAATAATTTTTCCTTCAGAAATTATTGCTGGTAATAATTTTTTTTATTACAAAACCTATTTTTATACAAGTTTGTGTGTCAACTATTTGCCTATAGCTAGGACCCTAACAGTTGCTACGGGTCAGGGTGGGCCTGGGAACGCCAGCAATTAAGAGGTGGTTCCACGCTCCTCAAAACCTTCTGATCAGAGTCCTTGCTGTTGGAGGTAGTTTGTCGTCTTACCCAGGACGCGGATGTAGTCTATCGTCATACCAAGGACGGACTATAAGTTGGTGAATTCTGGATAAAAAAGGAAATACAAAACTCACGTTTGTTTTTCTTTCCCCTCCCCTGAGAACTGCGAGAGAAACATCTCACGCTTCGTCATCTCATCTACCGAAATCCAGTGACATCACTGACGATAAATCTACAGGGTGCGAGTGCTATTTGAGGACATTTTTAGTATGTTAAATAAACTGCAATATCTTAGCAAACAATATATATAATTCAAATTGACACTAATATCCTTCGTGATACTTCTTTATTTAATTATTCTATGAAACCACCTTTGGCTTCAATGACTCCTTCTATTCGGGTTCGAATCGGTCCACAAGCTGCAATTAAGTGGTCCTTATTCATTTTGGACATCACCTGAACAATGGCGGCCTTCAGTGCAGCTATGGTACTATAAGGATGTCGATTAGTCTTCTTTTCAACGACGCTCCACGCGTAATAGTCCAGTATTAATAGCGAGTTAGGGGGCCACGTGTTGGGGGTTACATGATCGTAAAAATTCTCTGATAACCAATCCTGGGTTACAATGGCCTTTTGAGAAGGTGCAGAGTCTTGTTGAAAGTCATAATGACCTTCCATTGCATACTTTATCCAGGGCTTAACAACCGTTTTAAGAACATTTATGTATCCAGCAGCATTGACCCTAAGACCTTGTGGGAAAATGCTCACAGTAGCCGGATATTTTGGTGTGCATCACCCTGGGTACTTCAGAAGAAGATGCACATAGCCACCTGTC